TCCAAACTGATTTATTAAAGGCAGAATTATGTTAAAATTTAAAATTATAGACTTAGGTCAATTAAAATTGTGTCTTGGTATGAAGATTTATAGGGATAAAGATACTATTAGATTAGACCAGAGTGCATATATTGATCAGTTATTAAGAAAGTTTAATATGGAGGAGTGCAATGTTGTCAGCTCACCAATAGATAATTTTGATTTTACGGAAAGTAATTACTCAGAAATAGTTGAAAATCCTTTATATCAAAAATTAATTGGTAGTCTAATGTTTTTAGCAGTTTTGACAAGACCAGATAATGCATATAAGTTTTTTGAGTCAATTTAATAAAAGTCATAATGAGTATCACTGGAAATGTGCTAAAAAGATATTGAGGTATTTGAAGGGGACTAAAGACATTTGTTTCGACTTATAAAAGGGATGATTTGAATTTAACAGGGTTTGTTGATGCTGATTGGGCCTCAAATAAGTTAGATAGAATATCTTACACAGGTTTTGTTTTTAAACTTTCGGGTGGTGCGATTTCTTGGAAGAGTGTTAAACAGAAATCAGTGGCTCTTTTTAGTACTGAAGCTGAGTATGTAGCTTTAGGGGAGGCTACTAAGGAAGCCATTTACTTGAGAAATTTGTTGTCGGAAATTCAAGGAAGACTGGATTCGGTTGTTTTGTATAATGATAATCAAGGGGCTCAGAAGTTATGCATAAATCCAGTATTCCATGAAAAAACAAAACATATTGACATTCGCCACCATTTCATCAGAGAGGCTATCCAAAATAATGTTATTGAGTTGAAGTATTTGAGTACTGATAAAATGTTGGCTGACATCCTTACTAAAGGGTTGAAATATGTTAAAAATTCTAAATTTAGGCTACGTTTGGGTTTGAAAGTTTAGATATTTTTTTGATAAGTGGGGGTGTTGTGATGTATCAAAAAAGGTATTTCAATACATGTAGCGCCATCTTTGTATAACTTTGTAAACACTTGATGTATGGCGTGTTGCCAATATTTATTGAAATAAAGTAGAAGTCGTTGCTATCGAACAAAACATGGCGTTTATTATTTCAATGTACCCCAGAAAATCCTCACTTCCAAATTTTCAAGAATAATTACGTCGAAAACTGAAGGATAAAGCAAATAAATTGTTTTAGATTTCCAAAAGATTCATCATTGCAAAAAAATGGATTATAGCGATGGGACAAAAATTATGTAACTTTGCTTTAATGGTCGATGAAATGTCTATACATCAGAAAACATAATGCGATGGTGAAAAGTTTTTAGGGTAGGTTTAGCTTAGCATTTATTAGTAATTATAAAAAGTACCATAACCTATTGTTACGATAAATATGACATTACCCTAAGCTGTAAACTTTTCTTTTTAACATGACATTAGACATTAGTTAGACAGATATTTTTTAACATTGCCAAAAAACACGGTTATTGTTTGTAAAAATTGATGAAAAATAAATATATGTAAATCAACTTGTAAAGTGGAGTTTAAAGAACATTTTATAATAAATAAAGTCAATAAATTAGATTTGCAAATACAGTTCAGTGGTGTTAGACGTGGGGTATATTTTAAATAAATTGTGAAAATGACTACGATTTATGAGCTCACAGTTACGAATTTAAGAAGACATCTCGAGGACAGAAAATTAGCTTCTACATGAAAAAAAGGCTGATTTAATTCAACGACTAAAAAACACTTTGGAGGAAGAGGGTTTGGAACCTTCTATATTAGAAGACAAACATGCTACTGTCATCTCGTCGATTTCGAAAGTTTCTTCTGATGTAGCCAAAGTTTCTGGTGATGTGGCCAAAGTTTCTGGTGACATCGCAATCATTAGAGATTAAAGTTTCTGGCGATATGTCGAAAGTTTCCGGCGACATCGCAACAAAGTTATGGAGATCCATAGTGAGCAAGGAAGGAACTTCGAAAGCGATCTATTCCAAGGAATATATGATAGACTAGGCATGAAAAAAACAAAAACTACAGCATATATCATCCGAAATCGGATGGTATGGTAGAACGGATGAATAAGACGGTTGGCAAGTATTTGACAAAGATGGTGTCCAATCATCAGCGAGACTGGGACCATCTGCCGTTCTTCGCAATGCCCTACAGATCTACTGTTAACGAATCAACAGGCCAGACACCAGCCAGAGTCCTTTCGGACGCGAGATGCGATTACCTTGTGACCTAGAGTTTGGGTGTCGACTTTCCAGTGTCCAATCTCATATGCAGTTTCATTGGGAAAACTGTTTAAAACAAATATCACACATGTTTTTCTTCACTGTGCATGTATTTTCAAAATATGTTTGCGAGAAAACTGTGTAAAAATAAAATTTCACCTTTTAAGTTTTTCTCCAATGTGCGTTCTTAAGTGTATTTTCAAATTGGCTGCTTCACTAAACTACTTAAAACATATTTCATACTTAATACATATCAAGATTATTTTCCAATGTGTGATCTCATATGTTGTTTTAAGTGATTTGTAGTAAATTGCTTTAAGCAAATTTCACATTTGTAAGGTTTTTTTTCACTGTGTGTTAGCAAATGTGCCTTTAAATGACTTTTTCTAGTCAATTGCTTTAAACAAATTTCACACGTCAAATTTTTTTCTCCAGTGTGTGTGATAAAATGTTTTTTTAGAGAACCTATTTGAGAAAACTGCTTAAAACAAACATCACATCTATAAGGTTTTTCTCCACTGTGTATTCGCAAATGGGTTTTTAAATGTGTTGATGTAGTAAAATGCTTTAAACAAATTTCACACTTGTGAGGTTTTTTTCCAGTGTGTATTCTCAAATGTCTTTTCACGTGACTTGTTGTAGCAAACTGCTTTAGACAAGTTTCACACTTGTATGGTTTTTCTCCAGTATGCACTCTCAAGTGTATTTTCAATTCACTTTTTGTTTTAAATAACTTTATACAAATTTCACACTCATAAGGTTTTTTTTCACTGTGTGTTCGCAAATGTATTTTTAAATCTGATTTGGTAAATTGCTTAAAACAAATTTCACATTTGTAAAGTCGGTGTCCCGATTTAACTTTCATTTTTTTATTTAATATTTTTAGTTCAGTGTGTTGACTTGAATGAGACGAATGTAACGTATCCATAATTATCATTTTGTTCTTCTCTTGGGGACAACCTAAAATACAAACCAACTATAAACACTTTACTGGAACAGAAAAACAAAGGAATATAATTTAATAAATAAACACAATTATAGAACAAACAAAGACAACAAACAAAAAGCTGTCAGGAACGCAGAAAAATTGTGCACTACAAATCGCAGAGAGGATAAGGATGCCAAAAACAATCAAGAAGCTCCTCATGGACGTCCAAAATAGGTCCAAATTTAGTCCGAACGTCCATGGACTTTAAACGGACGTCCCACATTCGACATACAAGCCCCTTCACATATCAGTTGGCCCAACGTTAGATTGATAAGAAAATTAAATTTTAGTGAACAAAAATAAAAGTGCAGCGAAAATTTTAGAAGTTTTAATGCATCAAATAACCTTTTTGAATTTCCTAATTATAGAAAATATTTTATAACGTAATGAAAACTATTGATTAAACAGAATAATAATAAATTTAAAAAACACATAGAATATGTAATATTAACAATTGACAGACCTGGCAGGACATTTTCTCAAAGCTTTTCATTTCTCGCCACAAAGTCTCTATCAGGGATAAGTCGAAACTGTTAGAAACCTATTCCAGAATTGGTATGCCATGGTCTTCAATTGATTTTAAACTCTTTTTGAGTATGACAACCTGCGCCGTCCTCTTGAAAGACAAAATATTCCGCTGATGTTAAACAGTGTTCTATGATCGGTAAAAGAGATTCTTCTAAAATATTCAAATATTTGTCTGTGTTTACAATCCCATCGATAAAATTAACTTTCCCACACCTTTTGACGACATGCTGCCCCAGATCATGACAGATGTAGGAAATTTGACTTTTCTCGTCAGCCAGTGGGGATGGAAAGCTTAATTTTTCCTGCAAATGATGCAACTCCTACTGCCTCCAACACACACTTCAAATCTGCACTCATCACTCCATTGTTGAATCCTGACTGAGTCCAATTTTTATGCTCTTTTGACCATCTTAGTCTATTATTCTTTTGTTGTAATGTTAAAATAGACTTTTCCTTAGCCTGATATAAAACGAAATTTATTAAAAACAATTCATACTAATTTATTCAACTATAAAACTTACTTTGTAAGTACCAAATCATAACTTGTAGGCCTCTCTGTGACATGTCTAGACACATCAATTTTTCTCTATAATGTGTCTCATTTTAATTAAATAAATGAACAGGTAATTCATCGCAATATGTGAGAATGGTATTGGAGAAGGCAATATAATTTTCAATTGTACGGGAAGTGTAAAGAAATAGTTAATGGTACAGATTTAATATCTTTCATAAAAATAGGTAAGCTTAGATGGGCTGCACATGTGTCAAGATCAAATGAAAATTACCCACACAGACGAATCCTGTTAGTGGTACCAATAGAAAATTGGAGTAGAGGTAGATCAAGACTGCGATGTATGGGTGGTGTGGACAAGGATGCAAAAAGATCAGCGCAGCAAACTGGCAACAGTTGACAATGAACAGAAGCGACCGTGGAAGGTCGAGACACAACTACAGCTGTAAATAATGATGATGATGACAGTTAGTTCATAACAAGTTTTAAGATTTGTTTTTACTTACATAATTTATATTTTATTTGGCAATCAAAAAAATTAAGTAAAATACTATATTACCCATTTATAATAATCCTGTTTTTTGGGTGATTTAGATTCAAAGAAGTCTGTGCAAAAGAAGTAGAAACAGGTAAAGAGAAAATATGAAATAAAAGAATCAGGTTGAAACTATCAATTTAGTTAAGAGTATTTTTTATACAAAAATTGCAGGAATGCCACTTATGCAAATAGACATTTATGTTTCTATTAATCACTGTTTAATCATGTCTCTTATTACATAGAAGTTCAACTGTATTTTTTTATATAATAACAAGTAAACATTTAATTTATTTTTAACCTATTTTATATTGTAGTTGACAGCACTAGAAAAGAAACATTTAAAATAATCCTGTGAAAAAAATAAAGATGAAATAAGTGAAGTGGCACTCCTATATTGACCAAGGAGGGATAGCATAGCTTTCTTATCATTTAAGCACCGAGTGATGGTTTTTCATTTAATTTAATTCAATTCAATTAAATAATTGTATTAATCAAACAGTAAAGTAAGTAGTCTGTTGATGTCAAATATCTAAATAGATAAGTTTTTAAGTTATAAGCAAAATAATGAGTTTGGCTACATTTACAAATGGTGTTAAAACAGCCTCGTATACACATTCAGTGTCTTCGTTTCCACCTCAGCAAGGGGGTTCAGGTAGTTGTGGAAAGAGCAATGTCCACATTCATTCATTGTCATAAAATCAACCTTAAGACAAGGTATCTTTTCAACGATACAGTTTAGTGATTTTGTTTTTGTAATATTACACAATGTGAAATTCAAATAACATTTAATATTACACTACAAACTGTTCTAGTAAAAAAAATGATGGATCCCTAGGTGAGAGTCTTTTGTAATATTTTTCTGCAATTTCATCTGTCAACTATACACTTGTGTCAAGTGGACTAAATTGGTCTAACTTGTATACCTAATATGTATTATACATGTATTCCCTAAATAAATTTCCTCAACATACAATTAATTTGATTTCATGTTATTATATTAGTTTCTTTTATTTACTTACTTTCGTCATTTGTTGTTTGCTTTTCTTCAATTAATGTAAATTTACATTCATCTTGTTCTACTTCAGTGTTTACTGCAAATTCATTAGACTCTAAATAATCAAATTGGTCATATGCACTTTCTCTCTTGGCTTCTTCTTTAATTTCAATTTTGAATGCATCCAAAGGACCAACACACTTGTCTTCTACTTTTATTTTACAAGCCTTTTCACTAGCTTCTTGTTTTATTTCCATATTTGAGTTTATGTGGCAGAACCAGTGATAAGAGGGCAGAACGTGGGCACTGTGGGCAGAACCAGTGAATCCAGTGATAAGAAAAGAAGAGGGCAGAATTGGCGTGGCGGGCGTCATTCGGCGATGTCAACGAACTGCATAGATAAAATTTATAGATTGGTAACAGGGATAGGCAATGTCAAATCACGTTCGGATTTAGGCGCCCATTCGTTTGGTGGCGCTGCTAGTCTCGTTTCTACGCGTAGGGAGTGTGCTGTGGTCAAATCAAATCAAAAGTTGAATTTAGACAAATACGGCGCCATATTTTTATTTGTTTTATTTTTTATAATTTATTTTATAGTTTAAATTTTTTTATATAAGTAGTGCAAAAAGGTAAAATTTTAGACGATTTTTTATTATGGAATCGAACACATTACATGGAATAACAATATAGTGACGAAGAACTGAACAAAAAAGATGTATTCCAGATTGCATGGATACTAGGCAAGCACACTACCACTGGCAAGCAATACCGTTTTTCAAGTCCAGATTATAATATGGATATGTTTGATAAATGGGTGAATGCTGTTAAAAGCCCTTATTAGAGAATGCTGCAACAGAAACTATTTATAACAATTTTCGTGTATGCGCTAGTCATTTTAAAGAGGATGATATAATTAATGTTGGACATACCGGTATTACGAGAACAGCCCTTCTGAGTTTGTTTTTACCAGCACCAGGTAAGAACTATTATGCCAATATATGTATGTATGTGACCTTTTACTTATAAAATTAGTTAATTATAAATTTAACCTAATTATAAAATCAGACTTACTTGCTTACTATTTGAATTATTTTGTAGGTGGTGGTTCAACAACTATCTTAAAAAATCATCACCTTAGAGAGGGTTCGACATAATTTCTACAGGTGTGCCTATTTCAAAGTTGGATTAGATTAGCAGACCATGACTACACTATCATATGGAGAGGTCCATGAGCTTGCCGTTAAGTGCGAGGAGGGATCTGTCTCTCTCTTGTGAGTGAGATTGGTCTTAGAGTACCATATATTACCATGGTTTGTCTCATCTATGTACTTTTAATCAAAAGAACAACCTAAATCTAAATGTATTTAATATGTCTCTCAATAAATATATAAATATTAGTAGAAAATAGTTACTGGTAAGATAGAGTTTGGAAACGTAACTTTGTAAAATACTTCATATTATTATTGTAACTATGTAATACTTTACATATTTTTTTATTTTTAATGTTATTTTTCCATCTTTATAGTGCTGGATCTTAGAATCTTAGAGCTAACTGTTGGGTTTATAGGTTTAAATATGACTAAAATATTATCATATAAATGTATATAAAGTTCTTTCTAGAACTAAATCATTTAATTTTTCTGTTTCCAACTTAGCAGAGTTCTAGAGTTCTGTTTTTCTGTGAGTAGAACGCCAGACAGTAAGAGTTCTCACTGACCACTGGTAGTGTGTGTTATTAGATTAAGATGTAAGTACTACAAAGAACTCAGAATGTCTGACAGCTGTCTGTTGTTTATTAGGCTTTAATTTGACATATGATTCCAAAAAAATTATTTAATTACTGACAAGTTCTTGTCACAAGAGTTAGAACACTAAATTATACTACATTTACCCTTCCCTATTTGTGAACAAAATATTGCAACTATCTTGGTTTATTTTTAGCTCCAGCTGATTTACAGCTAGATTGAAAATCTGAATTTTCCAATCTTGGTTCAAATTATCATCAGGTTTTTGAACAGGTAAATTTTCTGTCACATCTGGCATTGATTTAGTAGTGGAATTCTCTAATGTGTTATTTGGACTTCATCTTCATCATTATCGTGATTCAATAATATAACAATTCAATAGTAAACTTCTTATATAGTACAGAGCTCCTGGTAAAGCAGTTTTTCATTTAGTGATGTCTAAATATTTGGTTTTCAATGCTAGATTCACCAATTTCTATATAACTCATTGTATCTTTCAACTTAACCATTTCCTTCATGGTTATATGGTGTTGTTCTACTTGAAATATTCCTTTAGAGTGGAGATAATTAATAAATTCTTGTGAAGTAAAGCTAGTTCTCCTTGTCAGATTTTATATATGCCAGCATTCTATATAAACAAAATAGTGATTTAATCTGTGATTGGTTTGAATTGCTTTCCTACCAGATAATGTCTGCATTTTTTTAATACTTCAATGCATTTGCATGTTTTCATTCTGAATCTGTGAGAGTATGTGTGAAAAAAGCAATTGGTTTTCCCCATTGATTGCTTCGCTTATGTAATTATAGACTAAATTTATTACAAGCATGTACTTATTTTGTCTTCTAGGGATTTATCTTTAGATTCATTGCTTTCTAAAAAAATCTTGAATGTTATATACCAATGTTTGAATTCTTTGCAAATTTTGAGAATAAAATTGTAGTAAAAGGCCTTTTGCAGAATTAGGCTTCTATTTACATAAAACTTGACATACTAAGACAAAACAATTATTTAAATACTGACCAGTTCTTGCCACAACATTAAGAAAACTAAATTATAGTACACTTGGCTTATATTATTAATATTTCTTGTAACACATATAACATTTCTTGTAATATTTTTATAAATAAAGATTTTATTCTATATTTTATTCTTTAATTTTTTGACCACTTTGGCATTTTAATGTAATGTAAAATAAATATAGTCTCAACATAACAAGAAAACCCAAAAAGTATACGAAAAATATTTATTATCGTATAGGATAAGGATTTTTCTTGTTATTTTAAGATTATATCGATTTTCCTTTACTTTAAAATGAGTTCACAATCCTAGGTAATATTACAAAAATTTTGAATTTCGCGCCATGCATATATAGTTAGGCGCCCGGTCACTAGGTGATGCGCCAATCATTGTTTTACTCGTCAACACGGAAGTTTCAATGCTAGGTGGTAGTGTGCTATGACGAACTGTAGGAGGGGGCGCTTTGACAGATGATCGGAGCCAATGACGTATAATATATAGACTACGCTACTACGCAGTCCCCTATTCTCCCTATAAAATCGAGTGTCCGAAAGATCTCGGCTCAAGCACAGAATAATAAACAATCAGAAGGGCCACTCTCAGATGCCGCCTTTGAAGTTTTTCAGCACGCGCGCCATGTTTTAGGAGGACACAAACATATGATTTGTGAGGTTATGCAATTGTTTACATTTATGTTTAATTATATTATATTTATGTTATTATATTTAAAACTGTTAATATAATTGTATAGTATGTCTATGATTGCCGTAAGTCAAATAAACCTGGTTTTTTTCCATGCACACCACATAAACAACACTGGTTCCCTTTAAAATCCTCGTAAAACATGGCGGAACGTCTGCGCGAAGGAGATGCGCGTACTTAATTTTCCGTGGAGAGTGGGCATTCTGTTTGTTTATTATTCTGTGGCTCAAGGTTGAAGGTATGTTTATCAGAACAGCGGCGTGCTCATTTATATTTTAATGACAATAATTATTTTTTTATATAAAATTAAATATTTATGATTTCTTTTTGTTCCCATCTATAAGAGAAATAATTATTTTGATAAAATAGTATGGCATTTTACTAAAATAGTAAGTAAATAACTCTCAACAATTTAAAATAAAATTTGCTTGTCACACAAAATGGAGAAAATGTTTTCATACGTCCATGATGTTTTCAAACACAAGATCAACTTCGTGATGCTTCGTAAGAAATCATGAACTTCGTGTATCTTCGTATCAAAACAATAAACAATAACAAAGGTATTCATGTTTTGGACACTTTTTAAAGCGTTCACCGAGTCTATATATTATACGTCATTGATCGGAGCTGAGAAAGTGCCGATTACTGCCGATGAAGTTAGCTACAGCCATGATACTATGATCATAAGATAAGATATTGCGCATGTTTTTGTGACGTCATTGGAGACTTGCACGTTCGTAATGTCAGTTTTTGTATATATCAATAAATAATCTTTAATAAATAGTTTGGAGATATCCTTATGTGTACGATTATTGTAATTATTAAACCTCTTAACTTATTTTCGTCTAGTAATTTCATCATAGAATGCATACAAATCTCATTTAACTTTAACAAGAATTCAAATTCTAGTCTCCAATGACGGCATGCGCGAACCCGACCGATTTTGAGCTACGGGAAAATCCTATCTTGTTATTCATAGTATCATGGGTAGAGATAATGGATTGGGATTGGATGCAGCGTTACCAGACCTAGGGAATTTTCCCTATACCTAGGGAATTTTGAGCCAGCTTAGGGAAAAAGTGATTTTTATTCAATTCTATGAAAAATCTATATCTAAATATTTAAAAAAATCAGTTTTATTTAATAAACTTTCCAAAATTGCACATATTATATTATCTACTTGGAAATCATACTATTAGTGGAATCACTAAATTCTGTTTATGTGATTTCCCGTCGGAAACTAGAGTGGTGAAATTTCACGATTTGCGAATTACGTCGGGGATCTACCTGGGCTAAAGTATGTATTGGCGTCGCCCATCGGGTGATTTTTGGTGTCTAGTTTGTCTTTCTCTAACTGTTTATGTCATTCTCCGTCGATGACTAGAGTAGTGGTATTTCACAAAGGGCGAATTACGTCAGGGATCCACCTGGACTAAAATATCTTAATACTTTGATATTCTTACAATTCTTACCATAAATACAACTATAAAACACTTGTGCAGAAGGGGCGAAAATAATTATATTAAAAACATATGTGTACAACTAGAGGAACATGCTGACCGCCAAGAACCTAGAGAACTTTTCTCAAAAGTCAAGTATCTAGCGAGAGAATTCAAACCGCAAAGATCATCAAAGATAATAGTGGAAATATCATAAAAAACCCAGACGGCCTCGCAGAGGTGTGGAAACAATATTGCGAGATACTATTTTCTAACAACGACCGAGACAATAATACAGAGAAAATAAGTTATGAAAAAAAAACCTCAAATATTGAAATCAGAAATTGAGGTGACAATTAAAAAGCTAAAATCCAGAAAAGCAGAAGGAGAAGATTGAATAACAGCTGAAACACTAAAAGAAATGGGAGAATTAGGGACGGAAGTAATGCTTAGAATTTGCAATGAGATTTGGAATA